TTCTCTCTCTCTCTCTTTCTCTCTTCTCTCTCTCTCTCTCTCTCTCATACACGCTTTCCCTCTTCGTTCTGTATAGAATTCTTCTCTCGCTTCAACTCATCCACTCTCTCTCTCTCTCTCTCTTTCTTTCTCTCCTTCTGAAGCGTCGATCGATTGGATCACGGCTCGTAAAAACCGGGCCATCCAAGCGATGGTGGAGAAATAAAACGATAGATAGGGGTGAAAGAGTATAAATCGAAACGGAGGGGTCAACGACGACGAGGACGACGACGAACCGAACGTAGGTGGAAAGAGCCGTGAACCAATTGTCTACGCGCAGCTATAACGTCGATTAACTTATCGATCCTCCGAATATCGACTCTTCGCTTTATCCACTTCTTCCCTCGCTCGTTTCTATCCTCTTTTCTCTGTTTTGCAATCATCCGTCCCCGCTCCCTCTCGTCCTTCGAATAAACTTTTTGAATTCGTCGAAACTTTTTTGCGCGCTTTCGATTTTTCAGATTATTCCTCTTTTCTTCTTTTTATCTTATATCTTTGATATATATTTCTTCCTTTTCTATCTCTCTCTCTCTCTCTCTCTGATATATCGATGTAATTTTTCTCTATTCTTTTTTTTTTCTACTCGGTTTGAAACACGAGAGGCAGCGAAACGAGAACAGGTGTTATACAGGTTAAATAACAACATTATGTTCCTATGTACATTTGTACCTTAGCCAACTTATCCCCAATCGACTCGATTACGGTCAGGCTCCCAGGACTCGTGAACTTGCAAGGTGTCTCGTATCTCGTTTTCTTTTTTTTTTTTTTCTTCTGATATTCATATTTATAGATTCCTCTTAGAAATTATACTTGATATAATATTCTTGATATATGAAGGCCAAAGAGAATAAAATGCTCGATATTTTCTCTCTCTCTCTCTCTCTCTTGCAGTTGAGCAAATTTCGACTTTGTAAATTCGAGAAATTCGTAGAGAAGCTTTAAAAAGACTGATATTTTTACGATATTTTTTTTCAACAGCAACCGTTTGAACGCGATTTGGCACCGATATATACACACTTTGCACCCTCAAATATATCTCAAACGGCGACACCTCGTCTAGTTCTTGATAAAATCGTAGATCCTGCTCGATTAACTGGGAGCCCGGTTCCTTGTTGGAGTGTGAAAGACAGCCGGTGTGTGTACTATTTGCGTGGTCGGCGATCGTCAGCCTTGCCTCCCGATCAACCTCGATATAAAAATCTTTTTCTCTAAAAAACACGCCGAACTTATAACTTATATTTTCTTTTCATTTCAACGGGGACGATAATAATAATAATGATGATGATGATGATGATGATGATGATAATAATAATATTATTACCTCTTCACACATCCGTGACTGGGCGAAAGAAAGGATTTTCTCTCCTAAATTCATTTTCCGCGCCATTGTTTTTTTCTTTTCTTTTTCTTTTTTTTTCTAGTAAAGTAAAAACTTCCTCTTTAAACTCGATCTTATAACCTTCTCTCCTTCTTTCCCTCAATTTTTATTTTATTTTATTTTACTTTATTATGTTCTCCAATCCCTTCTCCCTCTTTAACTCGAATCTACTTTGCTTGCTCGATTTAATAAAATTTCTCTTCTCGTAAGGATCAACGGTAGGATAATTAAATAATGTCGAGAGACAAGGCGCGAAACAGGATCAACGTAAACGCCGTCCGCGAGAAAAAACAAAATCGCTCTCCAGTAGCGCACTTCGATAAAATTTCTTCGTCGTTCGTAACACGTTTCAGATATTATAACAACACCATATTTTTTTCTTTTTTTTTTTCTTTTTTTCTCTTTTTCGGCAATGTACATTTTAAATTACACGCATCAAATTACAAGGAGATTCTTCACAAGGAAATAATCAATCTCTTTTCTTCTTCTTCTTCTTCTTCTTCATTTTTTTTTCTTCATTTTCTCTAATGCTCTCTCTTTCTCTCATTCTCTCACTCTCTCGCTCTCTCTTCGTCATCGTGTGGGCGTGGAAAAAACAGTGGTCTCTGAATCAGCGTTTGCAAAAAGGGAGGGAGTGAGATTTATAATCTGTCAAACTTAATCGGGACTCGACACACGCGAAACCGAAAGGATTTTTCTTCTTCCTTTCTCCACTGGGAAGGATTATGTGCAACCAATCACCTTCTTCTCTTCTCTTTCTCTCTCTCTCTCTTCCAACATCTTTCTCCACTTGATTTCCCCTTCGGTTCCACGTTCGTGTTTAATGGCATCGTACACGTCTCTCTCTCTCTCTCTCTCTATCCTCTCTTCGCAGACCTCTCATTCATTCACTCTTTCTTCTTTCTCACTTTGTACGTCTTTTGGATAAAGTCGCGTTTTTGTCGATGCACAAGTGGCGCGCGATTCGGTTAAATTCTTCTTCTTCTTCTTATTAGTTTTATCTTATTTTTTTTTTTTTTTTTCGTTTTAACATGCAACTTTCTTTCTTCCCTCGCACTCTGTCTACGCATTCTCGGTGCGCTCGCAACGCTACACTTGCACGTCTCTCGCTCTCGTCTTTCGTTCCGCTTCCCCATTCACACCCCCTCTTTCCACGTCTCTGCGCCTGAAAATAACCTGGGCTGGAAAACGAGAAAAAACGCGCGCGGCTCCGCGGGCACGATCACCGAGAATCCTCCTTTATTAAATTTCTTTACTAATTCTACACAACCGACGATGGACGATAAAAAGCACACAGTGTTTCCAATAATTTGATAATAATATAACTTGAGGTATTGAAGGTATCATTCGTAGTTTCCGAAAAATTCGTCCTCCCTCTCGTGTATATAATAATTAATTTCGAGAAGAATCACCCTCATCAGACGTACCCGCGAGAATCGCGACTGAAAAACTCGACGAATCATCGTTCAATTCAAAGTCGAATCTAATAACGTTTCAACGTGTAAGGATGCGATTATATATTTTCGAGTTTGTTAAATTTTCTACGAGAATTTGTTGCTCTCGAGAATTATCTCTTCCTCTTCCGTTTAAATGATCTCGAGAGAACGACCCTCGATTTACAAATTCGCATTCCTAGGTATCGAGCCGTGGCGCGATTTCGGCTCGACGGACAACAGGATCGACGAAGAAAAAAGAAAAAGGGAAAAAATCATATTCTATTCCCTGCTCGATGGACTCTCGTCGATCTCGTCGAAGAAGAAATCACGAGTTTGAAATTGGCGCGGTTGGGAACAAAGCGTTGAGGGAAAAAAAAATCCCTAGAAACCTACGATAGCGTATATGTACGTGCTCTCGAACTCGCGACCGATCACGTCGACCTCCTTGGAGACGAACGTCGTTGTACGTAAATGTGTTGATGTGACACGCTTGAGAATGTAATCTAAAGAGTAACGTATTTTTTGCACAAGCGAGAGATAATTTAAAAAAAAAAAAAATCTGATAACTCAAAGAGGCATTCACGAACGAAATGGAACAAAATCGTTATAAATTGTTCGAGCATTTCTCGATTCCTTCGTATCATCGATCACAAAAAATTATCATCGCGTCTTCCGTACGACTCGATCTTTCCGCCAACCGATTCCTTAAACTCGTTAACTTAGAGACAATATATATTTATCGATGGATCAGGATAAAAGAAAATAAAAAGAATCCTCATAAACTCATTGATTATTGAACCAAGCTAGGTTGATCTACAAGCATCGATGAATCGAATGAATTAAACAAGGTGAAATCTAAGAGTTTAAACGGAGGGAAAAAATACTAAAAAAAGAAAAGGATAAATGATCGCACGGAAGAACTGTCGATAGGAAAATGAAATTAAAAAAAAAAAAAATGGACTAACGAGCCAGATTTGCTCGATAAAACGTTAAAAACTAGGAGACGCTAGTAAGAAAAGATCGGACGCGTTTCTGATCACGGTCCACGCGGCTCGGCTGTTCGTGTAATCGCGAAAGAACATCACTTATGTGTATCATCTCCGTGTGTATGTATATACAATCTAGTGTCTACCCCTGCTGTCCTTGTGTGTTACGCGTGTCCAAGTATTCGTTCCAATGTGTCAATGCATCTCTATATATATGTCACAAATGTAAAAAAAAAAAAAGAAAATAAAAGGAAAAAAAAAATTACACAATGAAAGATCGCGTGGCAATTTCCATCTATCAGACACGCACGATATTCCTCCGTGAATATACATTTCTCTTCGTAATTTCGATCAAATATTTGCTTCTAGAATTTGTCTTATTTTTTTTTTTTTTTTTTTTTATTTTTCTCTCCATCGATCATTCCTTTCAGCCAAACATCATGGACGATTTTTACCGAAGATCCGGTAAGGTACTCTTATTGTCTCTCGTATTTCGTATATAATTTTTTCTGTACCGTGCCCTCGTTCGAGAGTGCACAGAGAAGAGAAAAGTGCACGGGAAGAGAGAAGGGCGAAAGGATTATCGCGCGTGTCCGACGAATCACCGCTCGATCTTTCGACTCGTCTCGCCTCTTCTTCCCTATGTAAAAACTTGTACAAGGAAGTTTTAAATCGCTAAACAGATACAAGTTGTTTATTCCTAAGATGAGCCGTACGAGGCTCATTCGTATTATCGATCGATACGCAGATACTCGTACAGCGGTATTTCATTTCTTTATACATTAATATGTGAATTCTGTTAATTTTAATGTCGTTTATATGTGTATATATATATATGTGTGTGTGTGTGTGTCGTCGTATATATACCTATAGTTGTCTAGCACAGCTGTAAAGAGAACTTACACACTAAGAGACAAAAAAAAACCGATCCTTAAACGTAGATTCATATAATATAATATTTTCATATTTATTTTCATATATAATATATTTATATATTTATATACTTCATCTTCTTATTAGATTATTTTCAAACCGCGTGAATGTCCGCGTGAAAAAGAACGCCTCGAAGAACAACCGATATATAAATTGCAGGATAAAATTTTCTTTTTTTCTTTCTTCTTCTTCTTCTTCCTCTTCTTTTTCTTTTTCTTCGTCTCATCACTTTCTCACACCAACTCTTTCTCTCTTCGCCTCTGTTCCTCCTTCCTTTGTCGAGCGTTCACAAGTAGCCTATCACTAGAACACGATTCTCGACCACGTTCGACGACCACGTTTTCTTCTTCCCTTTCGTCTCGTCTGTATCCTTATCCTTTCCTTCGGTTTACGAAAAAAAAAAAAAAATCAACAATCTCCTCCCGCTCGAAAGGAAGGAAGAATGCATGGCGATGACGAGCGTCGAGAGATAACCGAGTTAGAGCCGAGTCTCTAAAATATTCAACGAAATTTCAAGGATATTCTCTTTGGGCGTCGAGCAAATTGGCCGACGTGCGAAACGAAGGAAAGTTTCCCTTAACTAGAAAAACCTGAAAAACCTTTGTTTTCCAATAAAACTTATATATTTATCGATGATTTCAAAACCTTTCATCTCTTCGTCAATTCTCCACCATCTCCTCCTTCATAATGACTATATTCTAAACTCTATTCATAGTTCAACCACTCATTAACCTCTCTTTCCACGTTTAATATAGCCATCCTCGAGACCCCCCCCCCCCCACAAGAAAAAAATGTCTTCCTTTCGCGTTTATATACGTTTCTAATCTTTTGCTCTCGTTTCTCGTGTACCATCCCCTCCCTTATATAACCGCATACAACCCTTAATCCCATCCCCTCAACGTACCATATATAGACGTGCTATTCGATTATCATTAGAATTATCATTAGAAGAATCCACGGATTACACGGATTACGATCGACGAGATCTCGGAGCGAATACGAATTTCGAACACGAATCTCGAAATCTCGTTCCCTTTCCTATTCCCGAGGAAACGCATCTTTTCGACGAGGGCGATCGTGTCCTCGTCTCGAAAAAACAAAACGCGTGTTCACCCTCTCGTCTCCTTATCAAAAAACACCGACATTAGAAAAATCATCCGCTCCGGGTTGACGCGTTGGCGACGAGAAACGGGTCGCGGAGGAGGATTCGAAAAAAGGAATTCGAAAGAAAAAAAAGAATACGCTTCACAGGCGTATCTCGATACGTGTTCCTCTTCCTCCCGAATAATTATTATTGCAATGGTCGCGAGAAGGATAAAGTTCTCGTACCGAAAAAGGAAAAAAAAAAAAAATCCTCTCCTCTCGTGGAGTCGCGTGGATCGAGGTAGATTCATCAACAGAGGGATTAAATTGCAGCTTCGTCGAGGAGTAAGAACACTTGGGGATCGTCTCCTCCCTACCTGAAACCGCCCCCCGTTTCTCGACAACAGACGTCACTGAGCGCGAAAAGGTAGAAAATCGTTACAGCAAGTACTTTTACTTTTACTTTCCGAGGATAAAGGAAAAAAAAAAAAAAAAAAAAAAA